GAATTTTTCCTGCTTTATGTAAATTTTTGGTCTTGTGAGTTGCCAGTTTTAACTTGTTTTTGTTTTATGTGAGATTCAGATACACAGTGATATCTATATGGTTCTTTGAAAGGCTTTCAGTTGCTGAGGAAGTGTATTTATGCTTTCGGTTCAAAAGAACTTATTCCCTGGAAAGCACTGAAAAAAAAATGAGGACATTTCAGAATTATTTTCAGATTATTTTTCATATTCCTTTTTGATACTATAGGTTATTTTATTTGTTATAGGTGTTAAGTACTTTTTTATGAAGTAAAAATTTAGACTATATTTGGAAAAAATACCTAGCTATATCTGATATTTAAAAGATGTTTTGTCAAAAGCATAAATTAACAAAGGTGACAAGTTAATGGAGGTGGACAAGTTAATTGAACTCTTTCGCATTATTTGATAAAATAGCATACGTTTGCTGACTTTAGGAATCATGGCTGGTGAGAAATCACTAAAGATTCACCAGAGGCGACTTTATCATAAACAAAATCTACTAAAATCTGCAAGTTCGAATTCATAATGGTTATAAATGTTTCTAGTATTCATACTGTCCAAAAGTTGCAAATCACATCTCCAATAGCAGCTGATTTGTTGGTTTTTAGGGATGGTTAAATATATGCCCATATTTTATTAATTCATACTATCCACAAGTCCAGATACAATGTAATAAAACATTTTCAGTAAATCACTTTCTTCCTTTTAAGTATTTACCTCTTTGACCTGGTCAAATTAGTGAACTGATTTAGAAGATAAAATCTAGAAAATACCACAGGTCTTACAATGTCAAATATTGATCATTGGTGGTACACATAGGTAGCTTTTGTTTTTTTTTTATGGAAAAATATGTTAGAAGTGTTGATGGGAGGCTAAAGTATTTGATTCAAATCAACCTATATATTTTTAAGTTCTACATATTTTTAATTTCTTTACAAATATTTTAATACTTATTGTTAAGTACATATACACCAAGAGAAAATATTAAATAAAGGGAAACACTTGCTTGGGGAGTTTAAATTAACTTAAAAAAACAAACTATATATATATAGTGTAGTTTTTGACTATTTTAGATCATAGTTCATTGCCTCACTTGGCATGAAATAAAAACATCATATTTAACATGTTCCTATCAGTATTTCTTTATATTTTATAAACATCCTACATGCAAAATTGGTATTAACATAAAATTTCACTCAAAAATTATAAAGACTAAGTTAGATTACCAACTCAAGTAGTGTATGTGCTCTCACAACTGTTTGGCTGCCAAACATAGGTTAAAAAGATTTCTTTACCTAAACTCTTTGCATTGTAATGAAATAAATTCTGACTGCTTGAAAAGTCATGATCTACTGGAAATTTGCCTGTAAAATAATTCGTAAACATTAAATATTTTGAATATAGGATTCTTCACAATTGATATAAATAATTTTGTATGTACATTTTATAACATCAGTGTTGGTTTTTAATGTTTATCATTATTTTCTGTGATATGTCTAATACATATTTGGTGATTTTTATTAAAGTATTGGGTACTTTCTCCAAGACTGTGAAATGTCAATATAAAGTGTACTTGATTGTATTAAAAATGTGTTGCAGGAATTGAGCAAGCAAAGAAAAATATAAAGGCTTTTTATGGTCTTTTTCTAAACCTAGTGTAGGTTCTGCTTATCTGTAGCTCTTTATTGATACTATAGATAAGATGGTGCTGCTATGTTAGTGAAAGATAAAATACAAAACATTTCACTTACTTCAAAACTTGAACAGAAAGGCTATTTCATTTTTTTGTTTATGCATTTAAAGTCCAAGTTTGTTTTCTCTTTTTTAAAATCCTGAGTGACACTTGAAATGTCTCAACAATTTTCAGACTTCTTGATGATGGACTATTTGAGGCAATTTTAAGGAAAATCTGTTTTATAGGTAGCATAAAACACTTGTAAGATTGTGTCTCTAGCACAATTTGTGATACAGGAGGAGTATCTTAAAGACAAAAGACTTAGGATAATACAGACCTTACTGGGTAGATATAATCTACTTTCAACTTTAGATTTGAACACTTGCAGTGTGCTATATCATAAATGTGGATTTCTTAAGAGATTTTCTTACTAGAAATCAAATCCTTGGTGACACACATTTGTGTTTCAACAGTGGCCATAGCCTGAGGGAGAATCTCCTGATCATTGTAAACTGCAATAGTAAAGACTCTGTTTTTGACAGGTGCAAACCATAAAAATTACCCTGTCATCTTTCCTAACTTAATAAAGCTTAAAGACCAATCATATCTAAGTTGTCTTTTGGTGTTTTAATATTTACCATTTTAAAACAGAAAATGGTTCCTTTGGGCCAATTTTATGGGGTTAATGCATTGTCAGATTCTAAGAACTCACTTAAATAAACAAGATTAGCACTAGCAATCTTATTATTTTTTTTTCACAAGCAGTAATTCTGACAATAATAGTATGTCTATCAGTTAGGTAAGAACTAGCCAGTGCAGTACCACTGTGAATTCTAGCAAGAAAGATAATGTGAGATGTTTTGGTTTTATGTTTCTCAAGCTAAAAGACAAAGGAGTGTTAGTGAAC